GTGGCTCCGCGCCTCTGCTTAGCGCGGCTGTTTGCAACAGTGCGTCCTATCGGGGAGACTCCACCTGCTTGAAACAGGCGCCCAAAACAGCCAAGATCTACTCCTTAGGGAGGGAGGGGGGGTGCGAGGGCCCGCGCCGATCGGCAAAACAATGAATAAGAAAACGAGCACTAATGCTTTCCTGCCTCGGGCGGTGTTCTATGGATCGCCCTTGTTGATCCTACGGAGTGAGGGCGTCGTCCCCAGCCTGTGCCAGCGAGAGGCCAACCTGCAAGTCTTACTTCCGTTGATGTGCAAAATTCCGTGACCGTTGTCTGGGCCTACAAAATTGAAAGTGTGTGCTTGAAACGCGTTTCTCGGACGTCTGTGAGGCCAAGCTCCGCCAGAAGCCTTGGGCTCTCGCCCTACAGCCCTTGCCAGCCTTCCTCACTGCAGTCTTCATCCAGCTCGTTAGCAGCTCTATCGCGCGCGCCATGGAGAAAGAAGAACAAGCCAACCTGATGTCCTTCTCGAACTGGTCGGGCCCGCAGTTGAAGGAACGGATGCCGTCACATTCGGTCTGGGAGGCTCAAGGAGGTTTAGACTCGTGGGCTTGCCTCCTACACGCCAGTCGGAAGGAGTGGGTAGAACCATGAGATAGGAACGCGTTGAAAGAAGATTGGGCCTCCGCCCGCCCCCTGAAGACGAAGGACAAAGAAAAACCACCCGAACCTTGAGCAGCAAGGCGCCTGAAGCAGGTTGCCATCGGGGCATCCCTGGACGCCGAGGCTGCCTGATCGATCGCAGTCTCGGCTGCCTCCCTGCGCGTGCCATTAGGGGGGGGGGGGGCATGCAGGCGTGCTCCCCTGCCGCTCCGAGCGCCCCGCCTTCGCACCGTGGCGGCGGGGGCGCCGCAGCCTCTGTCCTGCGGAGCGCGGCGCCGCGCGGCCGCGGAGACCCGCCGCCGCGCCCGGGAGTCGCTGGCGCGCTGCGTGCCCCGACCCCGCGCGGGCGGCCCTGGCGCCGCCCCGGAGATCCCGGAGCCGCGAGCGCGAGCTGGCCTCGAGGCCCCGTGGCGGTGCCCCCTCTCCTGGCGATCGGCACCTCTGCAGCGACGGAGCGGGCTGCGCAGGGCCAGGTCCCAAGTCTGCGAGTGGCCAGCCTCGTCGGCTGCCTGGCTGAGGAGGCAACTGCTGGGAGGTCTTCGCCGGAAGGACTTGGGAGAGTTGAGCCCCACTGGGGGGCTGTTGCGCCGAATTGGGCCGCAGGTTAAGCGGGATTCAACCGCATTAAGCCGCATGAAGCCAGATCAAACGGGATTCGACCGCATTAAGCCAGATTAAGCCAGACTGGGCCAGATTAGGCCGGACTTCGGACCAGGGCAAAGTCAGAATTTTACCTCCCAGGAGTTGCATCCAAACCTGGTGATGGCAGCTAGCTACCATGGGAAAGGATTTTGCCGGTGTCTTAAATGCTGTGCCGTGAAGCGAGGGTTCCAGAGCAGATTACCCGCAGGTGCACCCACAGCAAGACCATGATAGTTCCAAGATGTGATCTGATTTCAAGCGGCTCATGCCTCTATGTTGTTTGCTCGGGGACGATAAGCTGTCTGAGGGATGCACACATCTAAGTATGACACCTCGGTCGTAGCTGTATTGAAGATCGGACCACCAATTAACACAGGCGTGGCGATCAGGTGGCAGATGCAGTTGCGAAGCAAGCGGCGCAAGAGCTGCGAGCTCCGCAAACAGTCAGACAACGTCGGCTAGGCCGTCGTGAGCGTACTCGCATCATGTGCGCACTCTGCCTCCCAAGAGCCCGAACCAGCCGAGGATGTTACATCAAGACGCCCTGCTTGATCGGATACAGGACATACCCCTGCCCCCCAAGCGCTGAGGTGGAGGTGGGGCCGACTCGTCCGGGTGCCGCTGATGCTACGGCCGCTCCCCTGTCCTCCGTGTTCGGAGGTTGACAACCGAAGGGTGGAACCTACCGTGAGGTCTGTAGGTAAGGACAGCGAGGAGAAGAGATGGCGATATTTCCTCCCCTCGCCCGCTGAGGGTCGGGCGCAGATGTATCCCACACCTGAGCCGAGAGGAATGGCAGGAAATGGTGGACAGAAGGAGGAGAAGATCTTCCTCTTCCTCCTCCTCCTCCTCCTCCTCCTCCTCCTCCTCCTCCTCCTCCTCCTCCTCCTCCTCCCTCCTCCTCCTCCTCCTCCTCCTCCTCCTCCTCCTCCTCCTCCTCCTCCTCCTCCTCCTCCTCCTCCTCCTCCTCCTCCTCCTCCTCCCCGCCACCTCTTCCTCCGAGACAGCTCCCTCCCCGTCGCACACCCAACACGTGTGCTAACAGGGCTGGCCCGGCGTGTCGCCCGAGACTGCCTCTCCGCTCACGACCCTGGACCTTGAAACGTTCCTCCTCCTCCTCCTCCTCCTCCCTCCTCCTCCTCCTCCCCCTCCTCCTCCTCCTCTCCTCCTCCTCCTCCCTCCTCCTCCTCCTCCTCCTCCTCCTCCTCCTCCTCCTCCTCCTCCTCCTCCTCCTCCTCCTCCTCCTCCTCCTCCTCCTCCTTGCAAGAATTTCGCTGATGGAAAAGGGTGTCATTTGAGAATGTCGGCTTCGCCCT